AGAGAGAAAAGTGTTCTAGAAATAAGGTCACTGTGGTATTCACTCAGCTCCCAGTCCAACATCCTTTAAAGCTCCCTGGGTTCCGTGGATATATGGGAAGGTAACATCTCTACTCACGTGTTTTCCTAGTTCCAGAATAAGGATTTTTACTGATGTTTGGGTAAAAAATCTATATTTTAATGGCTGCACTCAGGAGAAGCAGAAGTCCAGGCTGAATTCTTATGACTGATTTTTTTTTAATAGAACTTTCTTGTGTGATAATCATGGTTAATTTGCTTCCCAGTGTTTTTGATGTAAGTAAAACTGCTGATAAAATTCAGTGCAGTGTAAAAGAAATTTAAAAAGCCTCTGAGCTGCAATGTGGATCCGTGGATTTGCATGTTGGGGTGACTGAGGGTTGAACTGAGCATCACTGGGGACTGTCAGAGGGAAATGGATGGGGAATGTTGAGAAATAACTTCACAATCCAGGCCAGAATCTCGCTGTATTTTGGGTAATTCCAGTTACTCCAGCTTGGTTTGGGGGGAGTGGTTGTGCTGCAGCAAAGCTGCTGAGCTGGGAACCTCTCCAGTGTCACTTGGACTGTGGGAGGGAGGATTTGCATCCCTAAATTTCCGCTGCTAAACCTTTTGTCTTCTTCCTGTAGCTGGGGATTTATGGAAATGGGGCCTGTGACGGGAGCTCTGGTTGGAGTGTGTGGCTGTTGAGCTGCAGAGTTTATTCCACTTGCAGTGAGGATCTGGGGAGGTGTGGGCTCCAGGAGTCAATACAGGGTAACTAATCCCAGTCCTGGTGAACACTCCCAGAGCTCCCAGGGCAGGAGGGGTTTTGTGGAACAACTCCAGTTCTTCAGAGCAGGGATTAATTCACTGACTTAATTTAACTGTCTGCAACACTGGATGGAATCATAGAATAAGCACCAAATGGTTTGGGTTGGGAGGGACCTTAAAGTCCATCCAATCCCATGGGCAGGGACACCTTCCATTGTCCCAGGTTGCTCCAACCTGGCCTTGGACACTTCCAGGGATCCAGGTGCAGCCACAGCTTTTCTGGGAATTCCATCCCAGCCCCTCCCCACCCTCCCAGGGAAGGACAGACAGTTCTACTTGGTGCCACACGTGAGCTAAACCCAAAATGTTCCTTGTGTATTGGTGACTTTGGAGTTCCTTCTCATGTCAATGTATGTTCTTCCTACTGCAAAAAGATTTAGTGCTTCAGGGAAGGGTCAGGCAGGGTCGTTTTTAGAAATTAAAATAGAATAATTAATTGGAATTTTTTCAGAAAATGCTGTGAAGAGACACATCTGCTGTGAAACCTTTTGGCATTCCAAGAGTTGCCCAGAGAAGCTGTGGCTGCCCCTGGATCCTTGGAAGTGTCCAAGGCCAGGTTGGAGCAACCTGGGCTGGTGGAAGGTGTCCCTGCCCATGGCAGGGGTGGCACTGGGTGGGCTTTAAGGTCCCTTCCAGCCCAAACCATTCCAGGATTGTGTGATTCCATGTCCCACCCTGAGCACCCACCCCTGCCATGGAGTGGAACTGTGAGTGAGCCCAGGGAGCCAAGAGCTGAGTCAGATGTTGTGACAGATCCTCCGAAAGCAAGAGTTTGTTTTGCATATGTTATGTTTCCATATGATAACTCCTTGTCTTCACTTCCAGTTGAACTCTTTCCAGAATGAATTGAAGGATTTAGTGGTTGGTGGCAGCAGAGTGGGATGGAGGGGACAGTGCAGACAATCCTGTTCTGCTCCTGCCTCTGCCTTCCCTTTGCTGGCAGGTGAATCCTCAGCCTTACTCCCATTTTTTGGCTCATGAAAGATGTGTCTTCCATGGAAAAGGATTGAGATAAAGAGTCATAGGTTGGTTAAGGTTGAAAAAGGCCTCTGAGATGATCAAGTCCAACCATAACTCAGCACCACCCCCATGGTCACCACTGAACCACGTCCTCAAGTGCCACAACCTCACATCTGTTAAATCCCTTCAGCAGTGGTGACTCCACCACTTGAGGACACGATCCCAGGGACTGGATTTATTTAATGACCCGTTTGGATTTTTTCCTGCCTTTTTTTTTGGTCTCTTGGAGGCCACAGCAGCTGAAAGGCCCCAGCTCAGGTCACATTTGTGTTGGTTTAGTCCCGGCACAAACAGCCCTCACCTCAAAGAGCTCCAAGGATGAGCAGGGACAGGACTGAAGCTTCTCATTTTCCACCTCATAAAATGACTTGGCCAAGGTCACCTCTAAATTCCTTGGGCATTAGTTCCATAGCAAAAGAAGTTACTTCAGAACCTGGAACTAAAACACTTATAAACTTAATTCTCGACAACTTGGATGGTTTTAAATATGTTTTGTTGATCTCTGATTCAGCAAAAATACCACAGTAGGAGCTTTGTCTAGAGGGAACAGTGTCATCAGTGTTATCCACCCTTTTTCCTGGCTAAGTGCTGGTACAACTGTCCCCACACTTGCAGCAGTTCCAACAGTGCCCTGGAAAAGCTCTTTTGTGGGCTCAGGTCTCACGTGTGATCACCTTAGTGTGAATAAAACTTCATCCCTCAGATCCTCCTGGAAATGCAAAGTCCCTGTTTGAGGGAGGAAAGGACACTTCACGTTGTGGGCCAGCCCTGGAGGCCTCACTGTGACCAGGAAGGTTTGAACTGCTCAGGAGGTTGTTTTCCTGATTCCAGAGGCATCACAGGAACTGCCAGGGCTGGGAGGGACTAGTGGCATTTCTGCATTCAGCCTTTGCTGGGGTGACACTTCTCACAGCATTTCACATGTTCATTTTTTAAATTCTCCTTGGTGGAATCTCGGCCCCAAAAGAAGGAGAGGAAGAGCAGTACAAGGGCTGGGCCTGAGAACCCGTTGCTGGACCTCATTATCCTGGAAATGCTTTCTCCAAATGAATCTGCAGCTGCCTGCACCTATTGCATTGCATTTTTTACCCTGATAAAGAACATCCACCTTCCCTCCATACACATAAATGAAAATAAGGGATGGAGTCTGTAAAATCACTGAAAAAGGTCTGAGAAGGGACGTGTTTATCCAGTATTTAGAGATGTTTTTGAGCTGCTGGTCCCTCTGGCTCCTGTTTGGGGTTTGCAGCCAGGCCTCAGGTGGTTAATGAGCTGTGTGTTATTGCTGCAGAGCAGGGACCTCCATCTCCACAACACAAACAGTCCTTGGCTTTTATGGAATCATAAAGAGCTGCCTTAAAAGCTGAGGACAAACTCCAGCCCTGAGAGGAACTGGCACAGATATTGCTGCAGCCAAGGGGAGATTCAGGCTTTTGTCCCATCAAATTCTCCCCAGCAGCTTCTCTTCTGCATCCTCACCACTCAGCTGTCATGGAAAATGAGGTTTGCAGCTGAATTCCAGCTCGGGGAAGAATTTTGGGATCTCTCCAGGGTTCTGCAGGTCTCAGACTGCTGAGGGGATCCACGTGTGGGAGAAACTCAGACTCTGCAAAACTTCACAAGTGCTCTTAATCCCTCTGCTTTTTCCATGCCCTTTGGAGTGAGGAGCTCCGTGCAATGAAAATTTGTGAGAAATTAGCTCTGTAGTCTTCACTTAAAGTTCAGGCTGGAAAATAAAAAGGCATTTGTTCCAAGATTGGATTATGTGTAGGATTTCTCCAGCTATAATGAGCTCAGGTTTTGTGGCAGCGTTAGAATAAACTCTCCTGCAATGTGTGTTTTTTTTCCCCTAAGAGCATAATTCTTTCTACTTGATCAGCTCATCTCTTGTAGATGACAAAATTATCTGCAAAGATCTGTATCTGTTGTTGTGCCATAAATCATATTTAGTTGTAGGATTAACATTTGCAAGCGTGGAATATTTATGGAAAAAAGAAAGAAGGTTTGGGGCTGGCAGTTCCTGAGGATTTACATAAAGAAGAGATGGGATTCAGGATAGATCTGGCAGTGGTTTGAAATACATTTGTCCAAGGTGTGGGGCTGCTCTGCTCTGGCAGCATCAGTTGAGCTGCTTTGATAGTGTTTATCTTGGTGAGGGTGGAAGATAAAGAATTTGGGAAATGATGACCTTGGGCAAGCAGCTTTGTCAGGGAAGGAATAAAGAGAGTTCCAGCTGTGCTGCAAGCTGGGTTTGCCAGTCCTTTGACATGCTCAGGCTGCTCTGAGCTCCCTGGAAATTCTCAGTCCCCTTCCAGACGCTGGAAGAAGGGCCAGTTTTTGGAAGCTGCTGGGAACACAAAGCTTTTAGTTTGCTCTGCAGAGCTGGGCTGTCCCAAAGAGGCAGAATTCAGCCCCTAGGACCACCCTGAACCTCTGCCCACACACAGCCACCAAAAGGGAGAGCAGCTCCCTCTGCTCCAGGGCAGCACTGCCAGCTGTGAGGCCAATCCACACGTGGGGACCCAGAGCACAGATCATGGAACCATGGAATGGTTTGGCTTGGAAAGAACCCCAAAGCTCAGCTCATTCCACCCCCTGCCATGGGCAGGACACCTTCCACCAGACCACGTTGCTCCAACCTGGCCTTGGACACTTCCAGGGATCCAGGGGCAGCCACAGCTTCTCTGGGCAACCTGTGTCAGCCCCTCTCCACCCTCACAGACAAGAATTCCTTCCCACTATCCCATCTAACCCTGCCCTCTGGCAGTGGGAAGCCATTCCCTGTATCCTGTCCCTCCAGCCCTTCTCCCAAGTCCCTCTCCAGCTCTTGGAACCCCTTTAGGCTCTGGAAGGGGCTCCAAGGTCTCTGTGGATCCCTCTCTTCTCCAGGTGAACACTCCCAGCTCTCCCAGCCTGGCAGTCCAACCAGCCCTGTTCCAGAGGGCTCTGCCTGTGCTGCAGGGAAATGCAGTTTTTTCTTTTCAGCTCATTTGACTTTGTTATTTATTTCTGTCCCTCCTGAGAAACCTCAGGGGTTTATGTGGGATAATCCTGGGGGTCGAGGCCGCGTGGGGATAAACGTGGGAAATGCTGGGCAGCCCCTGATCCCAAACCCTCCTGACCCATCCCTGCTGTGCTCTGCTCCCACAGGTCCTTCACCCCATGAAGACTTTACCCTACTACAGCTACGAGCAGCCCGTCCTGGGGTATTACCAGGCCCACAAGCCCACCAGCCTTCTTCACAAGCCCTTTAGGCTCTGGAAGGGGCTCCAAGATCTCTGTGGATCCCTCTCTTCTCCAGGCTGAACACCCCCAGCTCTCCCAGCCTGGCAGTGCAACCAGCCCTGTTCCAGAGGGCTCTGCCTGGGCTGCAGGGAAATGCAGTTTTTTCCTTTTCAACTTGACTTTCCTTGCCTTTTTAACATCACTGGGGTGTGATGCCAGGGAAGGGGGGACACAGAGAGAGAAGGCTCGTTTCTCTTTGTTATTAATTTCTGTCCCTCCTGAGAAGCCTCAGAGGTTTATGTGGGATAATCCTGGGGGTCGAGGCTGTGTGGGGATAAACGTGGGAAATGCTGACCCCAAACCCTCCTGACCCATCCCTGCTGTGCTCTGCTCCC